CTACATACCCAGCTGTAAAAGATTTGTTGTTTAACAAAAATACATTTCTTTATATGTAAAAATTCAATTTAAAAAAATTGACATTTTGGTTTCAAAGAAATTTGTCTGAAAAAAAAATCACTTTTAGCTGCACTTAAGTTAAAACGATATTAAATGTTTTTGTTGCAGCATAAAAGGGTTAATTTTGTGCTGACTTCTATTTGTACATTATTCTGTTTTAAAGCTGTTTTGTTCTTTTTTATTTCTGTAAAGACTTTTCTTCTGTTTCACTTTAATAACATTAAAAAGTTTCAAAACCTTAAAGGACAAAAACATTTTCTGAGACGTTCAGTCAGTAATTTGTTCATATTTGACTGATTTTTAATAAACTAAATATTTTTCATCTTAGCTTCAGTTTACATGATCCAGGTGTTTAACTTTGTATAAACAGATATTTTTCATTTTGTTTCTCAATAAAGACAACTGGTTCTCCAGACTTTTTGTTCATTTGTTAAAAACAACAGCGCCATCTAATGGACAAACTGAAACACTGCTCCAATTACATTTAAATTAAGATGTGAGCAGTTTAGTAGTTTCTAAGGAAGTAATAATAGCTAAAGGAGTCCAAGAGACGTTTCTGAGGAACTAATGAAAACAGCTGAGATACAAACATAAAGTCTTACCTCATTTATAAGGAGGGAAATGGTTCGTGTCTCGTCCATCTCATCTGTTCCGGGTCACTAGGAGCTGATCTTCAGGGCGAGAGGCAGGAGACACCCTGCATTTAAACAAATTTAAAGTTTCACTCTATAAAAACAAAGCATCAACATTCTGAGATGTGAGGAAATAAGGCTGATCGTTGAGTTTCTACAAACCAGTCCAGAAACAAAGACCTGCAGAGATCTGCAGCGGGTTTGACTGAAAATAAATCAGGTGCTTTTAGCTTAGGTTTGCATTTTTCTAGCCTAAAACAACAAAGCTGCAGTTTTCTTTACAAAAACCAGGGTCTCAATTTCTCCTTTAAAATTACAGATTATTTTAGATTTTTRGATAAGCTGACAAATTTTCAATGGAAGAAAATGTGTAACTTTACTATATTTTGTAGAATGGGGATATTTTTAGTTTTCTATTCTCTCAATCTAGTTTTTGCAAAACTAGATTCTTTTTTCAAATCTGCGTCCGTCTGTTTTCTTCCTCTTCTCCGGGGTCGGGTCTTGGGGGCAGCAGCCTGAGCAGAGACGCCCAGACGTGCTGTGATCTGGTTCTGCTACCCGGGTCTGACTGCAGAACCACCTGTTTCCTGTCAGAGCTGCAGACAAACCAGAGAAAAGATAAAAAACCTGCAGGAGATGAGAATTATCATTTATATATAAACCATTAAATAAAATAAGGAAGGTCAGACTGTACAGGTACACCATTTAATAGTTATTATAGACATTTTATGTACATTTCAACAACAGCTGTATTCTTTGTGGTACAGTCTTTAAAATTTTCTGTTTATAAAAAAGAACAACAAAAATCTAAACTTGCAAATTTATCAGAACACTTCTTTTGTTGGTTTTCATGGGAAGACTAGAAAAAATACTTTTATTGGATCAATCATGCAGTACACAAACCCAAGAGTTAAAAAAATAAAATAAATCCATAGTGTTGCTGAAAACCAAACGTTTTTTTGTTCGGACGTGAAAATCAACCAGAAGCCACTCGAGTTTACAAACCGTTCAAACAACAAAAATAAACAAAAATAAACATTCAAATTAAACCCATGGATCAAAACAAACCAAAACCACGTGAAGTTACAGAAGCAGGAGCTCAGAGTCACTTCTGATCCAAAAACTGAACTCCTGCTGAGAAAAGACGAGTGAAGAGGAGGACAGAAGAGTGAGGAAGAGGAGGACAGAAGAGGAGGAAGAGGAGGACAGAAGAGGAGGAAGAGGAGGACAGAAGAGGGAGGAAGAGGAGGACAGAAGAGGAGGAAGAGGAGGACAGAAGAGTGAGGAAGAGGAGGACAGAAGAGGAGGAAGAGGAGGACAGGAGTGAGGAACAGGAGGACAGAAGAGGAGGAAGAGGAGGACAGGAG